TTTAGAAGCTCTTATTACTATACACAAATTAGTTTATTATGTAATTTCAATACTCTTTTATAACACTACAGACACTATAAAGAGCACAAAGGCAAAATCAAAGAAAAGGAAAGACAAGCGTATAAAGAAACCCACTTGCTGGTGATGAGGACATTAGCATTACTTATGAGGACATTAGCATTATTTATGAGCATTCCCCACCCAAAAAGAACACAATAGGCAAAATCAAAGATCCTACTCCACGTACTGGCAGTGAATTAACCTCCTTATTACCCATCACAAGCTACTAACCTCAAATAATTGCAAGCATTATAAAGAGAAGATCAAACTTCGAACAAATTAAGAAATGTATGGAGGAAGTGACCTCCACTTTGGAGGAAGGACAACAGGCATTATGCTCACTCACGAAGTTCTTTATCAATCAAACCAATGTAAACACACCAGTACCAGGGATTAAGGTAAACATGTGCTTTGGTTAAAAAAATTCCTGCGATATGATTATATACCTCACAATTATAATGATATTCCTGCCATTCACCTCCCCTTCCCCCTTCATCACACCAGCATCAATTACATATGGGAGATTTTGTTTAAAAAATTCACAGATAAAAAATACGTAGTAGATAAAAAATGGGGAGAAAAAGAAACCCACTTGCTATCCATGGCTTTGCCATTAGAATCCATGACCTCAAACCTTCAAATCATAAAAAAATCCACAGAGCAAGAAGAAATCAGAAACTGAGAAGAAAGAGAGAGACATGGCTGCTTACTTGGAGGAGGATGCCGACGAGGTGAAGAAGACAACGACGGGGGTGAGACCGCCGGGGGCGCGCGGGGGAGAGCGCTGGAGGGAGAGCGTGGGACGGTGGCTGCAGAAATTGGAAAATAGATGGGAGGGTAGGGTTTACATCACAACCCTTGATTTATTTGTTGATGAAGGGCAATATAGACATTTCAGTACACCAGATCATTTTCCCAATTCTGTTCCCCTCCTCTACCGCCCGATTCGGGGGGGAACAATTTCCCCTCCATTTTTCCTTCCTCCCCCTTTCATTTCCCCTTCCTTACCCCTCTCTACCCCCTTTAAGCAAACTCCCAAACAAGGTGAAAAATAATTTTCTCTTCCCCTCCCCCTCTCTACCCTACAAAAGTGAACTCCCAAACAGGCCATAAGTGAAGATAGAAAAGTCTATTGAGATACCGTTGAGATTGTTAATTAATTCTTCTTTGATGGTTTTATTGCAAAACAAATTTAGCTAAATTTATTGGGTTGATTAGAGAATCAAAATTACTTTCGTTTGTGTAGGAAGTGCATCAGAAAGGTCGTAATTCTGGATGGAATTGTTGAAATAGCAAATACTTGTGTAGTATTTCGCTAAACATATGGCTTCCTTCATTCCATTAATCTGTGTTAGGTTAAATTTTCTTTGTTAATGCATCACATTTTTTTCTTTATTGACCCAATGGTTAAGCATACCAGTGGTGTGGCTGACTCAAATTGTCTACATATTTAGCCTTGAACACAGACATCAGAATTTCATGTCATTAAGGATCCATTATTTAAAATATGGGTATATTTGCTAAAACCTGATTATCAAATATTTTAATTCAGCAACATAAAAAGTGTAAATGATAGAAGATTAAGATGTTAATTGTATTGTTACCACTTTTTATTCCAAGAAATATTACTATTGGTTCATAATTTATAGGAATAACATTCAAAATTGGATACTTGGTGGGGCTTGGGATGCACTGTATCATGGTCATTTAGTATTTTTGAATCATTAATTATTCCACATCCGGTTCTTGAATCTTAACTCTCCATTCAATCTCGGCCTTGCTTTCCTCGCTTACAATGGAGAGGGTGTTTACCACTTCATAGAATAACCTATCATGCTGTTAAACACAAAGGTTGATTTTTCTGAATTTTGCTAAGGAGTAGTTGAAGATTAGCGCTAGGGCTGAGCTCCTAAGTTCATTGGGTATTTGAGCAGCGTCATATTAAAAGAGTTAAGTATTTGAAGGAGTTGAGAAAAAACTTCATACAGAAGGTGATGATGAAGCGACTCTCTATTGTGCAGGATTTGGCTGCTGCAATAACAGTAATTGGCGATGGGAGGGATAGAAAGGAGCCGATGAGTGGGATGATGCTGACGGCGATTGTCTTTCACCATTGACCAGCACACACAAAAATCTAAATCTTGTTGATAGAGTGGGTTCTATTTGGGTTTGAGTTTTTGTTTGGATGATGGTTGTTTGGGCAGTGGTTGTTTGGCGGTGGGGGTGCAGGACGTTTAGGGAATTGTGGTTTTGTTTGGGTCTTTGTTTGTCAAGTGATTATTTGCAGTGGAGGGGAATAGAGGTGTTGGGGCAGGGGGAGGACAAAGTTTAGGGTTGAGAGCAAGGTTTTAAATGTCGGATGTCGGGTTCATGTCGGATGGCTGAAATCCATATCGAATAGCGAAAATCATTGATATATCGGGGGACATGGACTAAATATCGTATTACCATATCGGGTGGTGCGTATATGTATAATATCATGTCCTAAATATAATCTAAGCATTCTTAAATTCAATATAAGCATACTTTATAAATTCTAGAGACGACGTCGGCAATGGGTAGATTCTGACGTCGCAGGGAGGCAGTGTCGGGGATCTTCTTCTTCTTCTTCTTCGTCTGCTCGGGGTCCTTCAGATGAGTCACCAATCACGCTCTTTTCTTTATCCCGACGACGGGATACCCTATCGCCCTCGGGTTCGGTTGGAGTTCGGATTTCAGGGTGCAACAGGAGATGGACAACGGGGGTCTGAGATGGAGGTGGGGGAAGAGCATCGTCGTTCACGAAATGAGTGATCGGTTCCCAAGTCCGTTGTAATCCTTATTTTTCTCTTTTTCTTTCTATCCGGTTCATAAGAAACCCTTAAACATGAGGACGAGTCAAATGAGTTTAGGCTTTTATCGCTAAACTCAAACCCGATAACAAAAAACAGATCTAAAGAAAATGTCATATCGATCGATTTTTTAAGGCTAAAAAACCGCCCGATATGCCCGATATGTGACCCGGATATTTTCAATTTAACCTTGAAATCGACATACGAGTTGAAAACGCCCATGTCGTGTCGCTCAAGCCCTCAAACCGGCATGTCAGCTGACATGTCGAACATGTCAGATGATATTTAAAACCTTGGTTGAGAGGGAGAATAAGAAAGAAGGGCAGACTTGGAATTAAGCTTAAGATAAGGGGTTAATGTAACTAGTTTACAAATATAAGGGGGGTTTTCACTCTTTAACCTAGTCAAAGGGGGAAAACACATTCTTGAAAACTCTGAGGAGCTTAGAAGCAATTTCCCCTATTTTAAATATAAAAGCTTTAGTCTGATGTTGCAAAACATGTTTTTTGTATTTGAGTTGCCTGCACTACTTTGTCAAGTTTGGGTTTACTACCTTAATTTAATGATCTTGGACAAGATTAAAAAAACAGCAGAATCACTAATAAGAAAGTCTTTATTCCAAATATTCAGTATTAGCTGCATAATCCTATGTCAACAATCTTATTCGAATTATTTAGGATCTGCTACAAGATCCTTTTTCTCCACTTAGTTTTAATAAGAGAAATCCTTTCTAAATCTTAAATCCATGTTCATTTTTAAGTTTTTCCTCTGTTAAGAACCATTAAGTGATACATTCTTGAAAGATAAGATGTTGAATGTAGCTATTCACATAATAAACTTACCAGTGAGGTCTAGTTAAATGGTAAAGTGGAGGGTTGAATTAGGGAAGTTCCCATGTTTTATTTATTTTTTCTTTTGGTGAAGGCATGATGCTATAACCTATTATGTGTAGGTTGGAGCTGAGAATACAGCTGCAGATTTGGAGACAAAAAGACAAAAAGTTCTTGCAGGCGGGGCACCACCAGAGTCGGTTAGAGTTTGTACAATATGCAATGTGGTCTGCAACAGTGAAAAAGTGTTTGCTCACCATCTTGCTGGAGAAAAGCATGCCCTCAAGGTAAGTAGTTGTCTAGTTATGTCCTTGGCCATGGTGCCCAATTATTTTGTGGATTTCATAGATGTGAAATGTAATGTTTTGTTTTGCACTTTCTAAATCATTATTGCTCTTGGAATTACTATATGTATTAGAAAATGATGGCTATGCTCATTTGTGGAATGTCAGCTTTCAAATAATAGAAGTTGATTGTCATTAGGAGTTGATATATTTAAAGGATGACGCTCGTCAAAAATAATGATAAAACTAGACAAAGTAGCTCATTGTAGCACGGCATGAGCACACTGACAAAATATCTAGAATTCCCAGCTGGCTGTTGCAAATAATTGGTTTACAAGTCCCCCATATTTGTGCACAGAAAAGATAAAAAGTTGTTGCTTAATCTTGGCCAGAGTCATCATAATCGAGTGTATCTCAGCAGGGAAGTTGCTTTATTTACAGTTTGTCTTACAGAACGCCTGAGGAAGATATCAATTCATTGAGTAAATTGCATGAAGTTCTCTACTTTTCCTCAAAAATAATCCCAGTAGATTGCCCTTGTAAGCAATTTTGACACTGACACGTTACCCTTGAATCCATTCTCTTCTATGAAATGTCAATTTCACATTATCTTAAAACAGGAAGGTGGGAAATGAGCACACTCCTTCCTATCTGATTGTCAAACCCCATACGCCTCATACTTCAATTGGGTTTTTACTTATCATCTGATACTTAATGGTGGAGCTACATTTGGGGCCATTAGCTCCACCATGAAATAGTAATAAAAACATGTAAGTATGCCTAATTTGCTAATAGTAACTTCATAGGTAGTGAAATGCATATAAGATGCCTCAACTTTCTCAAACTTAACCCTCCACGTCCCCCTCTGGTTCTCGGTATGATTGTAGTCCCCCAAATGTTCCGTGTTTGAAAATGAGTCCCCCCAAATCTTTCAAGTTTAAAAATTAGTTCCCCAGATCTTTTATATCTTGAAATTATCCCTCAAATCTTTTAAGTGTTGCATAAGCAGCCCCCCAAATCTTCATGTTTTCAAATTAGCCCCCCAAATCCTGGAAGTATTTTGAAATAAGTCTCCCAAATTAGTTAAAGTTAAAAGAAAATTCCACCCTAAATTAAACAATTGCTAAAGTTGGAGACTAATTTCAAAATAGTTATAAGAGTCGGGGGACTAATATCAAATTGTTAATCTAATATCAAAATATTAAAGATTTGAGGGACTGATCGAAATACCCAAGTTGCGTATTGCGGCTTCGAGGAAAACCTAGTGAGCAGCAGCTCACTTCCTCTCTTCGCCCTCAGCGCTTGGTTCCTCTCTTCGCCCTCGGCGCTCGGTTCCTCTCTTCACCCTCAGTAGCAGTTCCTCAAACTGAATGACAGATGAGTATATGAATGATTGTTTGGTGCCTTATATTGAAAAAGATATATTTTGTGGCATTGGTGAGGAAGATGTTGTGAAAAGGTCTCGAGGAATGTAGGCAAGAAGATTGTTATTGTAAACACTATGGTCTTTACCTTTTTCCAGCATATAAGTATTGCAGATAATTGCATATACATGGCCTTATGTTTTCTTTTTGTGTGTATCACGCCTTCAAATTCCAAAATAACTTATCAAGTGTGTATAAGGCAACATTGTCCATCTTGGTTCTTCACTTGTGCATGGGAGATCAGAGCTATATCATCTCTCTTTACAGAGAATCTCTTTATTGTTTGAGCATTTTGGAGATCAGAGTTATCTCTCTCTTTATTTATTGGTTGACATTTTATTGACACTGGACATAAATCACTCATTCTTTATGGGGATTCATCTAAATGCAGAGTCTCTGTGAGATGCACTATTCCGATAAAGGGAAAAAAGGTTGTAGGATAATAGTGACCGGCTTAGTTATATATCTTGCATGCATTGATGCAAATGTTGCTTTCCTAGAATCTCTGCTGGCTCTCATCAGCTTCTCATGGTATTCCATCCTGCAGGCCTTTGGGTTACCATCCAATTCCTTAAAGCCAAAGAATCCTGGTCATATGAAAGCCAAAACCACTGCCAAGAGGGGCTCCAGTGGTCGTATTAGTTTTGTTCAATCATCCTACTGTGATGTATGCAAGCTGATTTTCAACAGTCAGCAAGTCCTGGCTAACCACAAACTGGGGAGAAAACACACCAAAAACTTGCAGAAGCTTGTAGAGTCTCTCAATCCAAAGCCAGCAAATGCTCCTAAAATCGTAAACCTGACAATTAATCCTAGTGCTAGTGAAAGCAAGGCAGCAAATGATCAGCCAAAGCAAAATGCCGCAACTAAGGAGAATTTGGAGAACAAAACTCAGAAGGTTTTGCATGGAGGAGCTGCGGTTGACACATTGAGAGTGTGCACACTCTGCAATGTTGTCTGCAATAGCGAGGCAGTGTATAATTCTCATATTGCAGGAAAGAAGCATATTGCTAAGGGAACTAATCCAAGTGCTAGTGAAATCAGCACAGTAAATGATCAGCCAAAGCAAAATGCTGCAACTAAGGAAGATTTGGAGACCAAGAAGCAGAAGGTTTTGAATGGAGGAGCTGCAGCTGATGCAGTGAGAGTGTGCACACTCTGCAATGTTGTCTGCAATAGTGATGCAGTGTATAATATTCATATTGCAGGAAAGAAGCATATTGCCAGGACGAGCGAACATCCGCAGGTGAATAGTTAGTGTATTCGCGTCTCTGTTTTGCACCTTTGCGGAGTAATTTCCTTTAGCTGTGGGGGACTCATTTAGTCATTTAGTTTTTGTAAATCAATTTGGTATCAGTATCTATCTGTTATACGGAGCCGTTACCTATGGTAAAATTATTTTTGTTACACTTTGGTTGTATTCCCGAGTTTATCTAGAGATATACGAGTTTGTGAAGTGCAATGCTGAGATTGGGGATGGGAATTTTTGACTGTTTACCCCGCTGTTTTCTGTGCCTCATCTCCAGTGGACTGGTTCCCTTACTTAGATGACCGTGTTAAAAGAGGTGTACTAAAAGAGGAGCATCCAATATACTCATGGGTTAACTGCGGATAAAATTCCTGTGCTGTCGCTCAAGTGTGGATAGAGGGTAATTTTTGCGACTCTTTCGTCCTCAAGACAGTCCGTTTAAAAGCAATTCTCTCTTTTTTTTCCAAGGGGAAACGAACGATAAATAGAAAAATCATAAAGGGGGACTATCTGAAATAGAAATCCTATCAGAACCATCTTTATAAGAGCGGAGTGGGCTGCGCCATGAAGAAAATAACTAATATTTCCATCTCTAACCGTCCGTGAATAATACACGGTACCGATCACCCCGTTCCATGGGGGTGTTCTGATAGAATTTCTACTACTGATCTATCTGCAATAATAGAACTGCATGGGGTCTGTCCGCATTTGGTCGATAGTCAGGGGGGGTTTATGAGCGACTAACCGTGTACCTAATAACCCCAAATGCTTTTGTTTTGCACTGTGTCCAATGAACCCCAGTCCGCAGGCTATACTTTCTCCTGAATCAATCATCTTAAAACCAGTTTTCTCGCAGGTGGTTCCGTTGGGATGAAGCCTGTCATCAGGTTAATATAGCCGGTTTCATGTCTCATCTACTCCTCTTTGGCGCTGCCATGCGGGTTCTCAAAAATGTTATTGTGAGTATTTAATACCAGTGGGAGGCCACGGCACTATTTTAATACCTCAAAGCTGTTAATATATATAAATATTGGGCATGCATGGTGTATATTATTATTATTATTATATTTTTTGCATAAAATCCTGAACGTACGCGATGGGAGTTCTTTCAAGCATGGACGCAAAGAACCTTGGCCTACCTTCCCCCTATCATTCGACTTGAAAAGCTTGTGAAATGACACTAGTCGGCCATCAATAATTGAGGCTACATATTATATAGTTGTATTTCTTATCGCTGGGGCTTGTCGATCTGCAACAACTTTTAAAAACTTCCACTTTATTTATCCCTTCTGTTCCTTCCCACTTGATTCCCGTATCCCCTTTGCGTAATTGGGGAGAGCTTCTCCAAAAAAAAACAAGGAAAAAAAAGTGCAGTCTTTCCCAGTGATGGCATTCTCGGATGCATGGGGAGAGTTCCTCAGAAAAAGGTATATATCTTTCCCCAGCGACGGCTTTCTTTTAAGGCACGCGCGAGTTGATTTTTAAATCGATCTGATACCCAGTTGGGTTCATGTTTAATTAATCAATCAATTTGTTTGTTCGTTTATTCGATCGGTACTAGCTTTGATTTGCGTTTTAATTAATAGTCAATGTATTTGTATTCGATCTTGGTTAATTATAAGAAGCGGGTATTATTTAGGACCGAAAAGGGAATAGGATGTAAAAAAAATTAAGCATATTAATTACACGCTGCGACCTCGATCGCTGACTCGACACTGAGCTGTACATAAAGACAGCCCCCCTCAGCCCGAGCTCAGCAGCCTGGTCCCGTCCTTGTGTCCACAGTCCACGTACGCAGGATCTCCTCCTTAAATCCTCGATCGTTGGCATAATTGATGATGCCCCCCCTTCCCCTTGTGCAATCATCGCTAGACACCTTCGCTTGTCTGCCAATGGGTTTGGTCGACCGCGATTCAGTGCATACAGATTAAGACTTTCAACACCTATATATCATGTCGTACGTACTTGACGAACGAATCGAAGGAGGAGCGATCGATTTTTTTTTTCTTTTCCCGCCGATACGTGCGCTAACACAAACGCATGCCATCGATCAAACTCAATCGCATTGTAAACCGTCGATTTGAGCATCAGGCGCTGTTTGGATGGGACCTAGCCCCAGCCCCCTAACATGGTTGCGCTCGTGGGTACGAGTCCACCGACCATCGGGTACCAATTGGCCTCTTGGGTGAGTTGCTCCTTTGTCGATGTCTCTCGCTTCCGACATCATCATTAGCTCATTTTGATTTCGCTTCCCTTGCCTCGTCTACGTGACAACCTCATGTTTCGTGTACTAGAGAGATTCGTCACCGTTGCAAACATGACCCGCGCAGACTGGTTGAAATCGTCCCGGGGGGTTAAAACTGTTAGCGGAGAGAATAAACACAAGACTTAGTGAATACATGCACATTGCTCTTTTGAATAAAACAAAAAAAACTTTCTTCTATTTTCGTTAACAACATCGCCGAGGTAATTAGATTTAAACAGTTTTGACTTATATACTCACTCACGTTTGACTCATACAAGTTATCAAAGTTAATGGCATGTCATACCTTTTCTTTACTATAAAATCACAGAAATTTAGTGGAGTGTATGCTAGTTCTGACTATTTATCTTTGTAATTAAGAAAGACTATGCAAACCAGTTTATTAATTATACAAAGTAAAAAAAATAAACACCTATCATTAAAGTTCTCATCATTTTCGCCCCCGAAGAGACCGGTCCAAAACAATATTAGCAATTAGCATGAGAAGTACAATGTTCATGCACATAAAAAAAAAAACTACTAATTAATAGTAGTATTAGGAATTTACACCGTTCTTTTAACTAAAAAAATTACAGCTAGCCGTTGAGCAGAACAGAACAAGGATGACATTGATACATAATAAGTAAACAGCCATGATTAGGCACTTACTTTCTCCATGAGAACGAGGACAAAGCCTCGGTTTCGGTGCCAAAAGCAAATACTATGGTACAGGATAAGTACTAAAACTCACCCGCGTACATATCTTACATCATTCATATGGCTGTAAAAACTAGGGTTTTACTTACTCGAGCAGAGGAGGTAGCTATCTCCTCGCTCTATAAAAACCAAGTCCTACGAAATGAGAAGTGTGTCGAGTCTAGAGCTAGAATTTACAAACGATGTTAGCACACGCGGAAGTGAGCCTCAAAGCCTCAGTATAATCAATAGAGTATAGGCCTCAAAACCTTAGCCAGAACTCATCAGCATGATACCCATTAATAAGAATATATCAACTTAATAAATATCCACCTCCATAATCAACTTTCATCTCTAGCTTACAAATTTTCCTGCATGACAAATTAATATAAGGTTAATTACACATACGTGCAAGGATAACAGCATATAGAAATATTATGTATTTATCATCTCTATATGCATGCAAGCCCTTGAAGTTATTTTATACACCTAGCTACAGACCAGCATGCTCATCCATCAAAACAATAAAAAATAAAAAATAAAACTAAGGAAATTAACTCAATACTTAAAAAAATTCCCCACGCTGTTTTTTTAATGGAAGTTTCCTACTGATATCTCTGACCGTCTTCATGCATGCATCTCTCTCCAACTTTATTACATGCGTGTATCTATCTGCTTCATTATCATATATATAATGACCACACACCGATAATGAGTTGTGTACCTAAAAAAGTAAGCATACGTATAAACTATTATTAATTGGTGGGAAAATTTCAGCTGAACCCAGATGTTATTGGAGGAGCCTTACTTTGTGCTAGACTTCCTCGTTTCTTTATGCACATAGCAACAAGTAACTTTTCCATCATAATCCTCATGCAGATATGATTCCCGCCGAAAATAAATCAAAATTCACTGCCATGCCCCTAATCATCACAATCACTTGCTTAACAGTACTAATCCTTAATTTAGAATGATGCCTTAATTAACATACAGTACGGGTTCAATATATGCATACCTCATCTATATATCTATTTCTCATGGAGGGAGGAACTATGTCACTCAATAAACCCTCACCCGTGGTGCCTGTGGGCAAGGACATAGAAGTAATTGTCTCCTGCATCTGCTGTTGATGCTGATCAGTTACCAGTGGTGATTGTGGAAGTGAGAAGGAAGTGAAATGGTTAGGAGTGAATTGTAAGTGAGGGAAGTAGAGTTGAGGCCGAGGTGGTGCCGACATGGCGAGGGCGTTGTGGACGGGAGCGAGGGTGGTCCCACGTGGGAATGCTACGGTGTGGTGACAGTGCTGGCCTTCATAGGTGGTGATGACAACGGAGGGATCATCGGAGGAGCGTTCTACTCGCTTCTTCACTGTGCATTTGCTGTTTGTGCAACGATAATAGCTCCTGTAAAAGGTTTAAACATCAACGAGGTAATTTATTAGAGGAAAATAAGAAATTACTTTTTTTTCACTTTTATTGTTAATTAGTGGAAGGAAAAAAGGCCGGCTTGCCTGAAAATCAAAGGGGTTGGAATTTATTCTTTTCTTTAATTTCCTTCCATTTTTACTTAATAATGGTAAATTTCATGAAAAATGGAGAATTATAGCACAAGCTTTTATAGCGTATAGATTTTGTAGGAAAATGAGGTGGGCGTTAAGTCCCAAAATGAAATGTCTAGGGTAAAAGTTCATTAAGTTTTACTAGAAGATTGAGTTGGTCCTTGCAATTATACTAAAAGAAATAATATATATATAGGGGCAGGAGAAAAGGAAATTACATAAGTGGTTCGAAGTCATAAGACCACTCTTAAGAGATCCATCAAATGTAAAAGAAACTGAGATTTCCTACATGAATTTGATTAAAAAAAAATTTGTACAAAGAAAGAAATCTTGAATTTGATTAAAATAATCCGTACAGAGAGCAAATCTTCAATACTAGTTGATCAAGAGACCTTTGTAAGGCAATAAAAACAAGAACATAATCATTCATTAATTATCTATTGAACGAGCTTATATATAAAGTAAAGTATAAGCACAAAACAAAATATAAAGCAAATGGTAAGAAAAAGAGCAAAACTGCTACATAACTAATTACCTTGGAAACGGACTGTTTTTCACGGCTTTCTGTCCATACTTTCTCCATCGATAACCATCTTCAAGATGATCTATTTCACTCTTGGTCATGAATGCAACTCTTGGTTGGCGAGTCCTCTTCTGCCCCTTCTTTGTACCTTTATTCCTATACAAGAACAAGATGCTTAGTAAGTACATATTACCTATTGTATTCGATCATATCCTCTTGACTCATCAAAAGCTAAAGGAATAATTTGCAAGGTGCAAGTTAGATGTTCTTGCTTAAGGGTTTGCAGAAGTTAGGATCCTTTTCATATACAAATATCTTGAATTGTTATCACCATTAAAAGCAATGATGCTGCTTTAGTGTTGATTAATTGAAGTTCTTATTACTATCAACTTATACTGAATTGATTTATATTATCTTCACTGAGAGAAAAGGGGAACAGAGGATAGATTGTATTAACTTATATAAAGACTTCTATCAAGTAAAAGAATTAATGTTTTATATGAAGCAGAGAATCAAGATCTACTTATATAACCTAGTTATAACACTAACAAAGGATAATAGATTCATGTGGAAACATTATTTTAAGTAATTAATGATAATATATCTAAGTTTATCCTTCTAAGTTCTCATTAGTGTTTTAAGTTGCTGTTATGTCTTATTTAAAATACAAAATAAATAAAATGCCAAGTGATATACTATATTAGACAAGGAAAAAATCTAAAGGAAATGTTTAAACTTTCAAAAAGGTTTCATTTTTTGAGAAAATTTCATGATTAACTACTATCTTTAATGAATCATGTGTACATGCTAATGAAAGTGACGAAAGTGATGAACTTCACTCTATGATGTTTTAGAAATTGATTAGTATCACTAAGATATGGTTCCTGAATTGCCAAAGACAAGAATGTCTTGCGTACGACTGAAAATTTTAAAGTAATTATTGGTGATATTTACAAAAAACATTCACGTAGACCACCCTCATGCAATTATACGTATATAATGACAACACAAATAGAGTACTTTCCTAAAACTTTTTTAGGGTCAGATGATAAATGAATTTACTGATATTGCTAAATAGAACATGTAAGATATCATGTATATAGAAGATGTAGCTTGCTTGTTAATAGAAAAAAGATAACAATATATATAGGAACACTTCATTATCTCTTGTGAGTACTATTTATATTACTAATTTCATCTCCAAAGATTGATTGGATAATTACTTAATAACAATCATTTTAAATGATGAGCGAAATGGCTAGCTTGTGGTTGTTCTAAAGATGTATGAGGAGATAAAGGGAAAACAAATTGCACAGTCTAAGGGCATTGAGTAAATATTATTGAAAACAACATGCAGATAGCTAGAGCTGTCATAAGTACCATCTAGATGTTACTGTATAAATTTTGTTATTATTACATGTTAATAGGGGGAAATAAACATAATTTTTTTTCCATAGAGATACCCCCATTGGGCTGTAATGCAAAAGGGCAATGGCGTTAGCTACTGCTTATGCAAATATTTTTCTTGTAGAGAGCTGCAGACAATGAAAGGTTATTATCCAAAAAGTTATGAAACCCCAATGTAAAACACGAGTTTTTAATTAATTTAAAAGCTAAACAAAATTCAAATAATTAGATCATAAGTTAGTTAATGCTTTATGGTGAACAATAAGAATCGAAAATTTAATGGATCTTGTAATGGGTTCATCACGGATAGATGCTTAAAAATATTGATCCACATGAAATTAAAACCTGATAGCACCGAGTGAACCACTTTCTGGTACCAATATTTTTCCATAAAATTATGGGTAATTAATCTTGAAAGCAAAGTAATTTTCTTTCACAGTTTTTCTTTTTTTTTTTAAAAAAAAGCAGATCGGTTGTGGACAAATGAGTAGAGAAATCATTTTGGACCCATTAATAGCAATCAACAGAAGCAAATTCAGATCAAAATAAATAAGTAAATAAATAAATACATTAGTATTAATAAATAAGGAAATGAGAAGGGGGAAACAAAGAAAGAAAAAAAAAAGAAACCGCGTGCGAGCTTTGGAAAGATTGTAGTATTGAGCACGGGAATTCCCGCCGCAACAACGTTCGGACATCAAAATAACCCCAAAAAATAGCCCGAGATTTTCTCCGAAATTACTGTTTTGCCATCTCAAAATCGTCCTCTTGTCTGAATCGAAACCGAGCCTTGAAGAAAATCCAAGGGGAAAAAGGGAGAAAAAAAAAAACCTCCGCTGTTTTCACACACTACTACTACGCTACCCAATTGACCCCCAAATCAACCATTTTATTACGAAGTTGCCACTCACGTTGCTGATGTTGACGACGAGGTCGCCGTCTCCGGCGGTTTCTCCTCCATCTCCGGCGGCGCCTCGGTTCCCTCGCTCGAGCTCGACGACACGGCGTCCCCCGATCTTGCTGACGGCGGAGCTGACGGAGGCGATCGAGATTGCTCCTCCGCCGTCAAATCTAATGGTGGTGGCTGTGGGAATCCGATCCGATCCGATTCGAGCGGGAGGTTCCAGGTGAATTCGTCGAAGTAGCCGCCGAAGTCACCGGAGATCTCGGATCGGGGGTTGCCGTCTCCCATTGGATTTGGATCCGATGAGGATTTGGATCGGAGAGGGAAAAGGTGAGATATTTAGGGTTTCGTTTGTGTTTCTCTCCGTTTTCTGCTTGTTTGAGGTTTAGTTCTCTAGTGAGCTGAGCTTTTTATTTGTGGTGATTTCTTTTTTGTTTTTTTGTTGTTTAAAATTTATTTTTGGGTTATTTATTTATTTATTGGGCTTTGGAGTAGACGCGTAGAGGCTTTTGAAACTTTTTTTGAAGCTTCTTCTATCTTTTCTTTCTGAGAAAGAATATCTTTTTTAAGAATAAAAAAGTGATGGGGTAAAAAAAAAAACCATCGGCGTCAAACTATTGTACGGGATTTCTTTTTGTATCTTTTCTTTTTTCATATACACGCCTAATACAACATAGCTTTGCAATTTTGGTACATAAGATACTTCCAACCAAGCTAAATATTTGAGGTTGTTTTCTTTTTCCTCCGTATTTTTAGGCTCAGTTGCACTTATTAAACACTCTATAGTTTCTCCAACGTCGTACACGTATACCCTCCTTTGTTTTTAGCAGCACTTATGTATTTTTAAGTTCTTAAATTTCACATTTCAACGCTCACTTATGCAAATTAAACGTGAGAAATTAATTTCCCTCAAAACTCTTATGCGAACACTGACATGGTAATTTTACAACTTTTTAACTATTAATTTCTTTTAAATTTGTTATTAAAACTACCTTAGTTCTATTTTAGTCTTACCTTCTATTTTAAAATAAAATAGTATTTCAACAGGCTTAACAATAAATTTAACAAATATTAAAAATTTAAATGTTCTAAAACTAGCATGTTCTAAGAAAATTAAAATAATTTTTTTTAAAAAAAAACTTTAGACTAGTATATAAGTGCTGTCAAAAATAATTGAGGGTAAATGCTAAGTAGGGAAACCTATATGATGTATAAGTGTGATTAATTAGCTTTGTTTACCGGTCAATGTTTTATTACTCTAGACGTTTCAACATTGATACATGGTGCTAAGTAAACTTGGTTGTATCATATATATTATTATTTTTCTCATGAAAAATTATGGTTTCATTGTCGGTGTAAACAGTAAGAATCCTTTCAGTTTTTAACTTTTTGGGAAGACTTGTAGGAAGATCTTTGACCCCAGTTCTAGATCTTCTCTAGCTCCTCATAGGATGCCTTTCTCAAATAGAAAGATTAGGCTTTGCTATCAATGCCTAATTAATTAGTTCGGAGGCTTATCAAAGTAGCTTGATTCAATGGTAATTATCACTGTATAGATCGAGATGATAATTATGTGAAAGCTTCTAATCTTTTTACAAAGAACTTGTAGACAATTGAATCCTCTCCGCTGATAGCATATAGACCACTAAAAAAGGTCAATACTTTGAATTACGATTAGCTGTTGTTAAGGGATTTGGATCCTCTCCACTACCAGTACATAACGGAGAGCTCACTTCTTTTCTCATAGACATTGACTTGTTTAATGATGATTGTGATTCATCTTAATTTGAGTACAAAGGAATGCATGTCATTCATGGAGGGTACAATGAGCGATCGATTTAGAAGGGATAGCAAACGCACACTAGACACGTCAATAGTTGTTATAATAATGATCTCTTTACTTCTTTTTGGTAATGGAAAGGATGTAGATGCTCGTGATTTTTTCTTAAATGCAAAACATGAATGAATGCAATTCACTATATGCATGGAAAATACAAGGTTTATAATCTTTTTTATGGCGAAGAGGATTGCCCGTCTTGCTTAAGAATATTAAAAAATAAACCACAAACCTAGTGATAACCTTGGTTTTTGGTGTGGAAGGGGCTAGTAACATGATATCGGAGAAATGAAGATTCACTTTCCACCAGTCTAATTTTTGACCCATAAAAAGGCTCTACGGTGGCATGTCAGAATATAGAAATATAGACTTATGTGGTAGCGGAAAACATTTAACGGGGACTAAAGTGCTCCATGATAATGTTGGATGGTGTAAGAGAGAGCGAAGTTGGTTGTATGGGTCAATAGCGTCAGAAGTATGATTAAAGAAAAGTCTAGTTAGTTGACATAAAATATACTGAATACTAAATGATGGAGACGTGGTAGACATGTCTAAGATCTAAGTAGCTCAGGGAGCGCGTTGAAGCTCACATAGGACAGGGTTTCTCTGAATTTTGTTAATTATTTCTGATATTTGTTTAATAATTTTGACAAAACATCAGATTTTATCCAAAGATGATGTACCAGAAAAGGCAAGCAAATTTTGAATTTTACGAAGTAAAAAAGAGGAAAGTTACAAACTTACAAGGATTCCATGCAAGGTACAACCGGTGGTCCACTTGATCAAAATCAGTGAACATCACCGTACAAATATCTATCTAATCTACTGTATGCAACCGATATGATTTGTACAACTTGATCTTTAATTTTCTCATCACTTGTTCTATCACACCTCTCACCCATATACAAAATCAATCCGTACCTTCTATATACTCACCACACGATGATCCGACTCGATTTGTGGATCCTCGGATCCTAATTCCAAAACCCGGTATACCTTACACAGTTTTCACTAATTATTAGAGGGGTGGCACTACGGGCACACCCCCAACCACATCCCAAACCATACCCCCTCTCTCATATGCTACAGTACACCGGGCCCCACATGAGATTTTAACAGTACACCGGACCTCACATGAGATTTTAAAATTTTAAAATCTCATGTGGGGCCCGGTGTACTGTAGCATATGAGAGAGTATGTGTGGTTTGGGATGTGGTTGGGGTGTGCCCCTATCATTTTCCTTATTAGAGAACTCCCATTAAGATTTTTCTGAAATTTTCTTAACAACATTAGTTGTAGTTTTTACGTAAGTGGGCACAATTATATAGAGAAATGTAAAAAATTGTAATTGATGATGTTAGGAAAGTTTTCTGCTAAAACGTACATTAAAGTTAAAAAGACAGTTTTCATGAAAATCTCTAACTTAATGGAGGCTTTTGATAATTTGAATGGAAAAATACATTAGGGACCCAAAAACATGGGACCCTACATGAGACAGGTGAGGTGTCGCTCCCTGTCCCATGATGCACTGTTAATGCACTGTTCACACATGTCACATGATGCACTGTTCATGCACTGTTCATGAACAGTGTATTAACAGTGCATCATGGGACAGGGAGCCGATACCTTACCTGTCCCATATAGGGTCCCATGTTTTTGGGTGCCTATAGCACCACCCATTTGAATGCTATGGGGATTATATAATACAAGCAAAATTCAAACGTAATGAGCTTCCTAGCGCATGGGTCTATTGGCAATTAACCTTTGATTAATTTAAGCAACTATTAGTCTAGATTAATTGCTTAATTAGTTAAGTTACACTTGAGTTAATCAGCCGATTTGGTGGGATTTGTGCGGTCCCATCCAAGAGTTTATAAAAGTTTTCGTGACGGTGGTGGGCCCCGTTAGAATCTTGCTGAAACCTAACTTGGCCCGCAAGAAACCACACGTCCCTCTCAAGGTTTCCGTTTGTTTAATTTGACGACGACAGCGGTCTGAACGCACGCGGGAGATTGCAAGCTAAAAGCATGACTTTTGCGAAGTTCACCCTTTAAATTTGGAGATTGCAAACTGAAGTCTTACCATTTGTGCTTGATTGTCATCCATTTAGAGGTGTTGGAGCAATCAACAGGTGTTGTTGCAAACAACGGCAAAGTAAATAAAAACATAATATGTATGACGAGAGATTTAGTGGGAGAAGTAAATAAAAAAACATAGCTTTTAGTTGCTGTAGCTACAGTATCCAACTCCTTGCTTTTTCCCCCTCTTTTTTCTCTTAGGTAGAAGGATGCATGAATGCCTATTTAAAGGCTTTACAAAGTATTTCATAATAGAATTCTAGTATGACTATAATTCCTAGAGATAACTAACTCAAATCCTTTTAGAATTAGGATTAACTTCAACATCTCCACTTAATCCAAATTCTGTAATGTCTTCATTCTCATCATGTGCTTCAACTTGACAAACGCTTCAAACTTTAAAGATTTCGTGAGGATGTCTGCAACTTGATCAGACTTGCAATAAATTAACACGATCTTGTTCTTCTCAACATTGTCTCGTAAAAAATAGTAACAAGTATGAATATGTTTGCTCCTTCCATGAGTGATTGGATCCTTTACCAAATCAATTGTGGACTTGTTGTCAACATAAATCTTTGTAGGACCTTGAACTTGAATATGAATCTGACTTAGCACATTGCGCAACCAAATTGCTTAACAAGCACTCGACGCAACTGCTACATACTCCGCTTTATAAGTTGAAAGTGCAATAATAGACTGCTTCTTCGACGACCATAAAAATGTAGTGGTGTCAAACTTGAAGACATAGACAGAAGTACTTCTACGATCATCATGATCTCCACTCCAATCACTATCAGAATAGCCTACAACATCATAATTGTTAGATAAAGAATAAAACAAACAATGATCATAAGTCCCCTTTAGATACCGCATAATTATCTTTGCAACTTGTAGATGAGATTGGAGAGAGTCCTCTAAATATATGCTGATTAGACCATCTCCATAGGCTATATCTAGACTCATACATGTGAAATATCTTAAACTCCCAATAATTTGCTTGAAATAAGTAGGATCAACTTGTGCATCACCACTTTCTCGAGATAATTTAGTACCAACCTCCACAGAAATTCTAACAGTATTGCAATCAAACATCTGAAACCTCTTCAACAACTCAGCACAATATCTCCTTTGACATATGAAAATCCCATCATCTTCTTGACTACGTCAATGCCAAGAAAATAAGACATCAAGCCAAGATCTATCATCTCAAATTCATGTATCATCGACTTCTCAAATTCATTCATCCTTAATATTATTGCCATAAGAATCAAGTCATTAACATAAAGGCATAATAGTAGTATATCACAAGAGTTGTTTATCTTCACATATAAGGCATGCTCGGATGGGCACTTCTGAAATCTACTTTTCTGAAAGAAAAAATTTATTCTTTTGTTCCATACTCGTGGCGCCTGCTTTAGCCCATACAATACTTTTTTCAACTTGTATACTTTATGATCGCATCCTTTCTTCACAAATCCAGGTGGCTGCTTCACGAAAACTTCTTCTTCAAGTGGCTCATTAAGAAAATCTGACTTCACGTCCATCTAATGAATATTTCAATGCTTCTGTG